TTATACATATATATATACATATATGCGAAAATTCGTACTTGGTGAACTATTCACGTACTTGTATTGATTCCCCCCCAGTCAGCTCGATCACATCACTCTGTGGATCAACAACGCCGGGGTGACGCAACAGCCACATGTATGTGCTCTAAATATTTGGTCAACGACGTATAGATTTAGGAAGGTGTGCGATGTACCTATAAAGGCCTTCTCAGGTTGATATATTTGGATACGACTTGATCGCTGTAGCTGTATGACATGTAGGAAGCACATGCTACAATACGTGCCGAATAAGATTTTGCGTATTTTTTTTTGTACCACTTTATGCTGGACCTGGATACTATATATGTAAGTATGTATTGCAACAGACTACTTGTTTCCTGGCTTCTAGACTGAGCCCATTGGCTATTGATAGAACGAATGATCTGTATTAGTAACCTTGAAATTCCTGACGGTCATTGGTGTGCCAAGACCCACCCACGCTACTGTGTGTTAAATAGCTAATCTATCAAGCACTCTGAAAGTGTGACTGTCGGTATACCCTCGTTTGATTGAGTACAAAGTTTCGCTAGTTGTTATTTTGCCCTTTTTGAAACCCGGTTTTCGACATCCCATTATTTATCGGAAAACGGGTGCGCTTGGGTCGGCTGCCCTACACGAGTTATACCAATAATTGGTCTTGATCTGGCTCATAAAAACACATCAATTGGGATATTTGCAACAATTTCTCCATGGCCAAAACACATAAATTGGGATATCGACAACAATTTAGCTATAGGTCACAACGCATATATTGGGGTATCTACAACAAATTCTATATAGACCAAAACACATAATTAGGGCTTTTACAACAATTCTTCTATAGGCCAAGCTTATGGATACAGAACCTGATGAGATTCGAAGAGTAGTAGATACCAATCTCGTGGGCACTCTCTTGGGTAACCGGATTGCGTTTAAGGTGCGTACACTGACACTGTGCAACAGTGGCCGGCTCGACAGTAAATATGTGGGTTTTAATGCCATGTGTACACCATCGATGTCGTGCTACACTTCGAGTCTGAGTGTAAAGGTCTGGACTTATGGTGTTCTCGTATCTATGGGGAGGTCTTAAACGGGGCCACCGCCTGTGTTCCGTGTTTACCTGCCTGCGAGTGCAGCTGTATCGTATTGGTTGAGGGGTCTCCCTGTGAATGTAGTAAATATGAGCTATGTTCTACGCCTATCTACTTTCCCTTCCATCTTAACATGACGCTTGGTCAGACAATGCGTGCGCACCCCGACCCCGGTGGTGGTAGGATTTCAGACATTCTAAAATTTTGCGTATACCGCTTTGTCCCGTTATTCCGAATCCACACGATGACGTCCCGTCAGACAATGCTTGCGCACCCCGACCCCAGTGGTGCTACGACTCACGTTTTCTCAATGGACGGTGCTGGGTCGAATGGCATGGTGACGGCTAACTTTGCTACGTATGGAGCATCCAAGGCAGGCATGAACCAGGTACGGCAGCGTTTACGCGACAAGCGTACATATCCCGAGGTGTTAGAGAAGTGTATGAGTGTACATATGGTTTGAGGTAGCGAGGACGTGAGGATGTGTTTACTGCCAATTAGTCCGTGGTGGTTTGTGTAGACATAGTTACCTGATACAGACTCAGTGCAGTGATGCTATATCATACCAATGCGTCTGCTACAGATCCGGAAGACACTCTGTGCTGAGATGCAAGGGACAAGCGTTGGCGTGCACATGCTGTCGCCCGGCATGGTCACCACCGAACTTCTCCTGAAGGTTTGTCACTTGTGCCTGTCAGTGTCATGCGTGTGATATCAACTCTTATAACTTGTGGGAGGGTCCTTGGTCCTTGAATGCTGCGCCTACGGCTGAAGTTGTGGGCTTGATTTTGTGGTGTCGGTTAGTTGTTTGTATTCATTGTGGAGTATCATCACACTACTCGCTATACCGCGCTACTATGCTGTCACCCTAGTGACCATTTGGTATACTTTTCAGTATATTCAATCCCGACATAGGTTTCCATTCATATTTATGCATAATATAATACATGTATCGAGCATAGAATTCAGAGGTACTTATCCTTTCAATTTCTTGTACACCACGCCAAACCGAGTTTCACTAACCGGTGGTATCGTTGTATTGTTTGTGTGCCATCTTCTCACACTAGAGTAACAACGGGGCAGAGCTGGACGCGTCTACGAAGAAAATATTTAATATCTTGGCCGAAAGACCGGAGACTGTGGCGCCCTGGTTGGTGAAGGTGTGTACATATGTTAGAAATGTTCCTTGTTTGTATGTACTTGTGCTTGCTCTGTGTGTTCGTGTGTGCAGTGTTTGTTACGTATGTTCCTGGGTAATGTTTGATGTGTGCGTGTGTGTGGGTAATGTTGGGCATTACATTCGAGTTGATGTAGTATGCTTGTGCTTGTATCATGCACTGCACCTTTATAATCTGATAGGCGCGACAGTGTAGCTCGGGGCATTCCCGGCACTACGCACAACAATACGACTTTACGGATCAATTCGCCTGGGGGGTTGGGATGTACAGAACTTCACGGACTAGTCTTAATGCACACAGTATGAAATTAAGTCACTACGCAATGTATGTCCCAGATACCATAGTACGTCGATCGGCACCAGTTCATGATGGTACTCTTGTACCCGTCACAGGCGGTTGTCTATATGTATTGGTGGTTGTCGTTAAGGTATTGGTGGTTGTCGTAAATATATTGGCGGCTGTCGTATATATATTGGCGGCTGTCGTATATATATTGGCGACTGTCGTAAATGTATTGGCGACTGTCGTAAATGTATTGGCGGTTGTCCTAAATGTGTCGGCGGCTGTGGTGAATGTATTGGTGGATGCTGTAATTGTATTGACTGCTGTCCCAAATGTATGTACTGGGGGAGAGTGCAAATAGTCCGATATTCTTCAATACTCACTGTCTGGCCCAGGTATTATAGACATACAGCTGTCATCATTGTTAGTGGTGGTGTCCATACCATGACTTCTGTGCAATTGTCAATCAGGATCGTGTCAGACAAAGTGTGGTGTGCCTCGTTAATCAGCACTTTCATACGCCTGCACGGGCCTCTAGTCCTTGGGATTTTGGTCACTGAAATGAGTCATCGGAATGGCTCATGCTGTTCACATGCGCTACCGCGCCGCACCTCTGCCATCGTACGACATTAAGGGGTCGTGCAAACATCACAACTCCTTGAAATTCAGCAGGAAGGATTACCCAATGGCTTGTTCTCTGATTATCACGAATGGTTGCGTCATATACATCTACATGCAGAAAGTATTGGACACTCGCGGCTCTGGCAAGTACCACAAATACCTCACCACCAAAGGTGTTGTGTGGAGGTTCATGACTGCTTTCATGCGGAAGAATCGTCTTATACCGGAAGCGCCGGGAGGGGGACTAAAGAAGTCACAGTAAGACTCGTAGAAAGGCATTTACAAACCCATAACGCGTTGCTAATTAATGAGTCATAGTAGTGAATCGCGAACTCGGCACGTTTTGCCATGGACCTATCGAGATGAAAATGGTATAATATGAAGAAAATTGGCTTCATTAGCAATTTAGTTGCTACGCAATTGAAACCGTTGTACGCTGCCGTATGGGTACGAGGCATAAAGACTATGCTTTCAGCGCTACAACGGGTCAATCACGCGCATGGGTGTCCAAAATTTTGGAGTGCCCCACCAACGTTTTTAGGACCGGCATGGAAAGCCTAATTGGCTTGGTCCGCTGAGTTTTTTCTCATAGAGGTGCTTTGAATTAGGATGCAGTATCTTCTGGGGTCTGAAACGGACACTCACCCAGTGCCCGTATGGTCGATATCGATTCCGGTACGTTTGTTACATCTTGATTCTAGTACATGTACCAGGCAACGTCAGGCGCAGACCAAACACCTGCCACTACTCACAGGCAAATTGTACCGCACTGACCGATGATGTGACACAAACTTTGGTGCTATGTATATATATATATATTTATGTACATGTACTTGTATGTATATGTACTTGCATGTATATATAATAATATATGAGTATATATTTAAATATATATTTAATGTATAAGTATATATATGCATTATATATACATATATTATATATAGATATATATGTGTGTGTGTGTGCGTGTTTGTGTATGTACATGTATATATATTTATATGTCGAAGAATCCATTTATACATATATATATATATACATTATATATATATATATATATATATATATATATATATACTATTATATATATTATATATATAT